TGGCCACGACGAAGATCTACTGACAGTAGGGCTGTGCCTGGAAAAAATCTAAGCTACGCAACTTGGAGAAATAGAGCATACGTATATCATGGATTGAAAAGTCAAATATATCAAATCACATGTGTAAGTTGCAATATATATAAATATATACATAATATGGAGATGATCATGATTTGAATTTGGCTCATGAATTTTAATTCATTAGAAATCTTAGATATAGTAATAAAAAGAAGAAATTATTCTTTTTAGGGATTAATATTATTTAATTTATTTTTTTCATAAAATGAATATTCTTAAACAAGTCTCTAAAGTTAGTTCGGCTTCAACTTTGATTATACGATTTAACATAATTTTTCTATTAGAATAATAGTTTAAAATTCTAAATTAATTTTTTATTTTGAATCATATTTATATTAAAATAATTATTATTAGATATAATTAGATGAATAGCAAGAGTTTATCATAGATAGAAAAGAAGTGAATGCTTAGCTTCATACAATTTACACTCAATTATGTTTTACACATCAAATCTAATGAAATGATTTAAGCAAGATGGTTCCATAATATACCTCATGTAACATATTTTCTGACTATCTTATATTATTAAACTGATAAAAATCTTTTAAATAATTTATGATAGTTTCACTCATAACTGACCCTAGTGATTTGAAACAAATGAAATGCATGTTTTAATAGAATGGCCTTCAACCATCCTCTTGTACAAACTTTCAAGATGTACGACTAAGTCATGAACAAGACAAATATTATAAAAAAACAAAATCCTTGTTGATTGTTGATTTTCATTCTTTAATAGATTCCAAGAAAGTTAATTACTTCTCAAAAAAGTATTCAAATATGATCGAAAGGTCAAACTCTCTTTCTACATTACTTTGGATGTAAACCAACAATCAACATCAAACTTTCTCTTCTTATTTGATTGGGTTCAAGATCAAAAACCTCTTTGATAAATTTTTATGAGAATATCAAATTAATACAATTGATGCTCATAGAAGTCAATATTCCACTTATTAACGTTGCTCCTAGTTAACTTCAGCCTTGGATGTAAGAATATTGATAAAAAAAAGTTAGTCCAAAGTCAAAGTATCCTGATGTTTCTTGACTCACACTTAATAAATAAATAAATATTTATTAATTCACTATAATATTTCACATAGGTGAAATTAGTCACATTTCATCATATATGTAAAGCCATCGCACTATTACATTAAAGCCGGAGAATCATGTTATGTGATCTCCAATTTAAAAACCTCGAGCAATTGTGACATGATGCATGAGGCTCGTTTGACACTAACTATACTACTTGAATCCTACCCTAAACTTTGTATGCATGTAATGCAACAATAATAATCACACTAGAAAAAGAGATCTCAATATGAGGCTGAGCCTTCTACCTCTTTGATAGAGAGAACTTTGATAATCTTCGTCAGCAGCCTAGAAAAAATGAGCAAAAAAATTGCCAACTATATGGGGCGAACGTAGTTATGTCGACGACAAATTATAATCAGCCGATTTCACATGATACTTTAGAGTTCTCAATACTTAACCATCCTTCGCAATCTTTCTCAAGCTTTTGTTTGTACGTCTTGTATGAGTATCGCTTTTACCTATCAAATGCACGACAACATCTACTCCATCATATTACTTACTTTACTATATTGAAAACTCTTGTCTTTCTGATGTTCATTTAACTTCTACTATGTATAGCTCACTTGGAACCACGTGTACTACAAAAGCAGTACTTCTAATGACTCATGAACTCGGGACAAACCTTTCTCAAATGATTGGGTTCGGATAGACTCTATGATGTATTTCATATAAGCAGAAAATCGTTTTATTTTTTCAAAATATATGACTTGGTGCCTTTACGGTGATATTTATTTTATAAGGACCCGAGTTCTGATGTTCCTCGAACTTCTACTGTGTATAGCTCACCTGGAACCACGTGTACTACAAAAGCAGTACTTCTAATGACTCATGAACTCGGGACAAACCGTTCTCAAATGATTGGGTTCGGATAGACTCCATGATGTATTTCATATAACCGAAAATCGATATTTCTTTTTTCAAAATATATGACACGGTACCTTTCCGGTGATATTTATTTTAAAAGGACCAGAGAACTGAACCATTGTGACGCAAATATTAAGATATATCTGGACCTGAAAATTGCCTCGTACAGTACGTGGGCGATTGGACGAGGTCTTGGCATGCAAACAGAAGCGACCGGCGCTGGCAGCTGATCTGTCTTACGCTATCGTTGGCTCCAGTAACGCGGTTGGGCGAGGCCACACACAACGTGAAAGTAGTTTGTCCTGTTGACAGCAACAACGGCTACTGCGGTCGGCTCGGAGTGGCAAAGCGGGCTCGCTTTGCCACTCGAGCGCAGAAGAGCTGGAGCTATGTCCGAGTCAAGGACGCAGTGTCGTGTCGACAGCATGAACGACGACGTTCCTTTCAACACCGACCCCGTTCAGCAGCAGCCCAGGATTTGCGCAAATCCTCAGCTGATGATTTCGTTCCGAGAGCTTCCATTGGCGGCAGAGGCCAAAAGGTGGTGCTCGCAGCATGCTGCCAATGAATTCCGAGTCAGAACCGCTCCTGTGTCAAGGGATGGATGAAGGGCGACCGATTATCGGGTTCGGCTTCCAGCTCCTGCCAATCACTCCTCGTCCTCACATTCGCACGTGGACGAGGCCGCAGCATTGCATTCTGCACTCACCTCCTCGAGAGCGATTCTCGACGGTCGACGTTGTGGACTAGCTTCATCGGACTGTCCACGAGACGGTCGTGAAGAGACGATTCATAGTCTTCGGGCTGCCCCTCAAGTCCACTCTCCCTCGTTATGATCCACACATATCTCTCGGTCGCGCCAAATCTCAGCCGTCTTCCAGTGAGCTATGTATGGGTCAACTTGCGGGGCAGAAACCATGTTCCCGTATTCATTCGTTTGAGCGTTGCCAGTTGTGAATTATGTTTGTGTTTTACTGTATGGTTTTGAGGTTTTTGTACTGTACTGTCAAACATTGCAGAAAAGACTTGATGAGTTGTTCTTCTCAATCTGATGTGACGAGACCAGGTTATGTATAGTGTGGGCCAGGTATCAATAGCATCGTAATGGGCCTGATATACAAATGTATCAACAGATATCCAAACTATCAAAGACTCAATAGTCTAAAACCAGCTCATTTCAGTAGTCAATGCTCTACACGGGTAAATGGGTGCATGCTCACTGCATTGCATTCAAATTAAAATATTGGTCTTCTCAAATTAATTTTTTAAAAATTATAATATTATGCAATCTATGAAACAATGAAATCTCACAACATTAAAGTGTTAATTCAAATATCAATCAATATAAAAGTTTAGGGATTATATTTTTTTATAGAATTTTTTTTTTCAATTATTTAGTACTAAATAATTTACAGGAAAAATATCAAAATTACGAAACCTTACAGAAAAGGAATTTTTAGTTTTTTTAATCAAAACCTACCTTTAATGTAATGCAATGCATCATATCAATAAATACTGAAATATATGTTTTTCATTAAATATTTTAAGTCAAGAAACTGTAATTTAAAAAAATCAAACCTATAGCAGAATAAATCTTATGAGTTGGATACACTTTATAATATTTTTTTATAATTTTTTTAAATTTTTTGAATGGAGTTTAGAATTATTTTATTGGATAATCTATATAATGAAAACGAAACCATAAATAAATTGGAGTGAACAGTTCAAAAAAATTTAAACTGTAATGCTGAGAAAAACCAAAAATATTATTAAAAGAACGATTCATGATGTCAATGTTAATTATAATAAATGGTTTGTTTGACATATTTACATAAAACCTATTCACATGAAACTAATCTTATTTTATATACGAACATGAGTCGTAATCTCGAGATTAGAAATGAGGAATAGATTCTTTGCTAGTTGGGTAGAAAAGATATTTCACACCCTTTGTCTATAGGTAGTTAGTATTTTATTGAGGTTGATTGCAAATGAGGACTATCCTTCAGAAGTGGGAGCAGTATGTACGTCAGCATCTACCCCAAGTTAAACATCGAACATAAGTTTAGATCATCCCAAAAAGCACTCCGAGGATTCCCAGATTTTGATGGGAGAACGACCCGCAGCCTATCGTACAGGCACACTTGCCTGTCCAAGTTCGTAAACATCACTCGAGGCGTTCGAGCAGTTCAATACTCCACAAAGAAAGGAAGCAAAAGCAGACGAAGAAGAAGATGAAACTTCACAACGAATGAATGTTCCGCTGCATCCTTTCGTGGATTCGTGTTGTCTGATTCTCGTGGACACGGCCTGTCGAATGCGTGGGCCACGGTCCATTGGGCCCTCGATCCTCTGCGAGCTTGTTAGCCACGCCATTTCCCCTGACACTGCTGCCCAGGGCTGACCACACTCTGCTGACCCAGGCGTCTTCCCTAACTCTAGTTCGAACTTCACTAGTCGACACGCGGAGCGGGCTCGGGGTGAGAATTATCTGCCACTAGTATCTGAGCGCTGCCAGCTAATCACTAAGTCGGCAGCTAAGCGTTCCATTAGAATCGCTAATCCGGAATCTATCTGCTAAACCGCGGGGAACTGGGAACGAGCCTGGATTAGCCCAGTTCCGAGGCCGCCGGAATGCCTTTCCGGCAGCCGGCAGAGAGCCGAAAAGGACGGAATTCGGGTGCGGGCGAGAGGGAACAGAAAGAGGTCCGAGCGCTGGCCGCCACGTTTCTCACGCACCGGAGTTCCGGACGAGGGTACGAACCATCGGTTCGGTCAAACGCGGGCCGGGCTAGCGGACGTGGCACCCGCGAGGCTGAGGTGGCGGAGGGCGGGCTCGTGCGTACAAAGATGCCGGGAGCGGAGTCGACATTAGAGCCTGGCGCTAAAGTTAAAAGATTCCGCAGATCCGCGATTACGGGCTAATCTAGGGTTTTGGGTCGAAGGTGATGCCATTCATTCATTCGCTCGTGAGTGGTGACAAGCGGAGGGAAAACTCGGAGCACTGCACGCACGCCCGAACGCCCGATCGATCGGTCGATCGACTGATTCATCCTTCCTCGGAATTAATTCGACGGGAGGAAGCGCACGCTAAAACAACCACAACCACCTCCGGCCACGAGACTCAGAGCAGAGGCAGGCAGAGAATTCAGGGGCGAGCACTTCTAAGTTTTCGGATTCGGGCGACAGGGCTCGGCTCTCGTTTGAGAGGAGAAGGGCCGATCCGTCGCGAGAAGCGGGAAGGGTGTGGCGCGCGAGCGAGGGAGGGAGGAAAGGAACGGAAAGGAATCGAAAGCGAGGGCGGAAGTTTTTCGGATTGTCAAGAGAAGTGTAGAGCAGCGGAGGGGGTTCGGGGGATTCGATTGGGGGGGTGGAACAAGCGAGAATGGGAGAGGAGGAAGATTTACGGAAGCCGTTGTTGCAAACAGGAGGAGGAGGAGGAGGGGGAGGAGAAAATGAGAATTGGCAGCAGTATACTGCAGGAGTGGGGCGGGGAAACGAGAGGAGGAATGGGTTGATAGTGGCGGAAGGCGCAGAGGCACAGGAAGCGCTGGAGAGCAGGTTTAATCATGCGATTACGATCTTAGGAGAGCCTCCGGTGCTGGAGAAGCAGGCTGCTATAGATCCATTTAAAAATAAGACGCCTCATATAAGGGGATTGTATGAATGGACGAAAACCATTCTCATGCTACCGGTTTTGGTGCTCAGAATTCTTATGACCGCGCTGGTTCTCTTCGTGGGATTGATTGCGACGAAAACTGCCCTGGCTGGATACACGCCAACAGAGGATCCAATGCCGAAATGGCGACGACGCATGTTTTGTGTAACTCGCCTCTGTGGACGCGCTGTCCTTTTCTGCTTCGGGTAAGGTCGTCGGTTGATTTAGGGGTTTTAATTTTCTTTGGTGTTCACGGCTTACTGAGCAGCGAGACCTTCTCTCATCGTTTCGTAATTTGCTCGGAGGAGTTGAAAGTTCGTTTCTGACTTGAGCTTCTCGGGATTGAGTGGCAGACCTGGTTATTTTCAACTCACAATTTTCCCTCGATATCTGGATGGTAAGCTGCGTGATGAACATGTTTTAGGAAGGCATCTCGAGGATCGAGGGACGGTGATCACTCAATTTTAAACTTAGAAAATCCTCTGCGCGCATGTCACGATTCGCTCTTGTTCATCATGATAGCAGCTGGAATTTGTCTGAGACCTGGTTCCGTTAGTTTATCGTATATCTGGTCCGACGTACGCTCGTAGCGATCACAGCTAGTACTTTCTAGTGAGTAGTTGAGAATAAGGTCTACTGCATCTTATTGGTTCGAATAGCGTATCAAGTCTAATCCCGATCAGCATCTTAAATTGAAGATGGATAGGTCAGTCGAATCCATGGGTCGTGTCGTGATAGCCAGCCGGAACTGCGACCAAGTTTACATATTCGTTCAGTCGTTCGAAAAGATTTTCTCAAGGGGGACGATCGCGTCACTGACTGGTAGGTCCGGCCCGGAGATCGGACTGTTCATCATACAGACACGTATTGATGCTGGTTATTCACTTCATGACGAGAATCTTCCTTTTTTCTTTGCGAGCAGGTTTCATTGGATTCGTCGAATCGGTCGACCTGCTCCTCGAGAGGTTGCTCCCATTGTTGTTTCCAATCATGTCTCATTCACCGACCCGATTTTTCATTTCTGGGAGCTGCTTCCTGTCTTTGTGAGCTCAACTTCTCATGATGACATCTTCATGGTGGGGCCGATCATTCGAGCTATGGAGGTGAGTTACGAAAAGTTGATCTCATGTTGTTGAAGGGAAACTGATGGATGTTTACAAGTCGATAGATCTTACGCAGTCTGGCCTGTTCTTAATCTGGATCAGTGGAATTTGGAACTACATTGCCCCAGTTACATTGCTAAATCAGGGACAGCACAGTTTCAGTCATCTGGTATAGCCGGGGTGTGCTATGCGGTGTAGGTCGTGGAGCTAATTTGCCGCAGAGTCTTTGTATTGAAAGCCTTTCGCTTTCCTACAGGAGTAGGTATTCCACCTTCGTATATAACGGGTGCAGATTGGCACAGTCAACTTGTTATGTAATGCTTCTAAAACGCCGCTCTTCCTCCAAACAGGTTATTGTCGTAGACAGGTTGTCCCCCGAATCACGAAGACTCGCCGCCAGTGAGATCAAGGTTTGTTCAGTAGCATTGTTGCCTTCGTCAATTCCGTCAGATTCTCGCTCTTAAGTAGGATAAGATGCCGTCGGATTTTTTTGCAAGGCGTCCAAGGCGTTCATATTCGGATTGCGCTTTTCGACTCAACTTGAAAAAGAAGGGTCTTACATCATGTCGTGCTGAAGCACGCCTATGCAGAGAAAAGCACTATGCAATGATTACCCTCGGGTGCTACTTTTCCCTGAGGGAACAACAACGAACGGAAGAGCTATTATCTCCTTCAAGCTTGGGGCTTTCAGGCCAGGTGTTGCGGTTCAGCCGGTAGTTGTTCGCTATCCCTTCGTACACTTCGACATTTCCTGGTATAGCAATTCAATTCCTTAAAGGAAGCTTACGATGCACAGGATTTCATGCTCCTGGGTATAAAATATAATTATACACGTGGTATCACCGCACTGGGAGCAGTTTAACGCATCTTGTACAGTTTGTGCACGTCCTCGTGAATAATCCGCGGAAATGCCGACCAGAATACGTTAACCTGCATTCTTTACTTACTGCTGATAAAACATTTGTTCCAGGTAGAAGCATGTAACGCAATCTTACTTGTTAGGCATATCAATTGTGATATTAAATGTGCTCTTTCATACCGAGATGCAGGAGTGCAAGCGGATGTGATATTACGATTACCAACATAGCAACTTTGTTTCTTATCCCGCACTATCAATGCTTGTCTTATTTTGCTATGAATCAATCTGTGACCTATCTCGTCGAAGACGGGGCAATCTCTGTTAGGAAACTAGTCTTCAAGGACTTGACTGTCGTCACATTGTCGAGTTTGTGATCTGTCTGCTCCGATACTAATCCTTACTTGTTTCGTTTTGCACGATATAGGGGGGACATCTCCGTTTGGAAGCTAGTATTTCGAATGCTTACTCAGGTCACTAATCACATGGAGGTAAGTTTGTCTGTTCCTGAAGCCACGCAAGCGAATACACCAAAACTTCTAGTCAGGAGTTTTGAGAGTAGTGTTGAGCAACATTCCAGTTAAAAGAATAAATCTCGGCAAAGTCTTGACCGGTGAATAGGGAAAGCTATAATATTGATACATTCTATGCCCTATTCTGACAAACTGTACTCATAAGCATGTGCCGGTTATAGCTGAAGACCGCAAAGCGGTTCTTACAACAAGAGGATCCATACAGAGGGTTAAGGGGAGAATTTAGTCGATAGGAGAGGAAGGGAGATTCTTCAGAGTGAAGACGGGTCCTTTTTGGTGGAATTCTTCTCTTTGGAATTGTTCGAACTTTTCAGGCATCGACAAGAACCTCAACCAACTCATCCATCTGACGGTGACATCTAGTAACTATCAAATAACGTGCAAAGCGCTGCTTTGGGTTTTGAAACTGGGTGAATTATGTCCTTTCAACAGACTGGACTCCACCAGCAGCAATGAACATGTCAAGAACAATTTCGGTCTCATGTTAGACATGGAGCTCTCTTTATGAAGTAACGAACGGAAGTTTTGTCTTCTTTGGTGAACAGTATGCTAGTTGCGGAGTGGGTCCCTTCTTCTGATCATCGAGAGGGAAGACCCCCATTTCGATTCTGAACTTCAGGCATTTCCCCATACAGGGAAGACCATAGGGGCAGTGCTAGAAGATCGTGGTTTCCATGTCCAGCGTGGCAGGGACACTTACTGACTTTTTTTCGTTTGCCTTGTACTGTCCAGTAATTGAATTTGTCTAGGTTCGAAATACCTTGCCTCCATCTGCTCTAAATCTTCTCACAAGGGCAATCTTGTTGCCTTCACACCGTCCTGCACCTGACTCTACCTAGGTATGATAGGTCTCCTTGCCTGTTTCGAGTCCTTACAGCTTTCACGAGAGTTCATGCGTACCGGTTATGTGGCCCATGATGTAGTTGTACTTTCTAGTTAAGTTTGGCAACACTCCTACGAACTTCAAAAGGGTCGACCTTGATATCTGATTACACTCCTTCCGGATCAGTTTGTGTGGATGCCGGTATAATTGTACGAGTAGATTCACCTGACAAATTGGGAAAAAGCTTAAAACTTTTGAAAAAGGTGTAACTTGCTCTATGTTCAATGAACGGAAATGATCGATCCCCTTCGCTCTTCATCTTAGAGGATAGAACAAGTCTTTGTTTGAACCTAATCAATTTTCCTGTCAAATATCCTGGGGCTGTCAAACAGTATAAGAAGATGAGTTTTTGAATCGTTTTCTGCTTAGCACCCGGAAGATCCGAATCTTATGGTCAGATTATTATCATAGAAGAGGACCCTCTCTCCGAACTATTCCTTCTTGCGCCCCACCTTTTCTGCACAGACTGTCACTTCGAACAAAGCTCAGCCAGGACGCGGGGTCTTATGGTCTCGAGGGTATGAGAGGCAATACTAATGATTACAGTTTGCTACACGCATCGTCTGGGACAACAAATCTGCAACCGTCAGAATTGGCCTTACAAGAACAGTTTTGGTCGATACTTTTGTCGGATTTTTACGAGATCTATTTTTTGAGGCCTACATAAAGTCATCCCCATCCGATCCTGTTGGGATTAACTCACTGTTTTTTATAAATCTGTAAGCTTGTGCTGACAGCGTTCGTATTTTGTGCGCAGGTGGAGTATCTGCCGGTTGTGTACCCTACAAAGAAGGATTTAGATGACCCGGTTGCTTTTGCGCAAAAAGTAAGTTCCATCACACGTACTCTTGAACTGTATCTACCCTTTGTCAAAATTCCGCACCCAGAGGTTACTTTATACACAAAGATCTTGTATCTCCGTCAAAGCTTTCTGCTTTGCTTCTTCAAAACAGTCTTTTGGACTGTATGTTTAAGGGATAGCGCAGTTTGATCACAAATATCTCAGATTTTACGCTCTGCTTGGCTTCGCATGCTACGTAGTATTTCTTTTCATGACGTGTTAGGCCATGGGCCTTCATGGCATCTTGAGCACGCCATAGCAAGGATTATCTTAAACACAGGGTCACCTCCACGCTGAGTAACATGATTGAAATCTAAAACTTCAAACACATCTATTCGTCAGCCGCCTGCTTTGGGCAGGTCTGCTATAGATTTCGGTCTGTGGATGTATGCATTATTGACTGCACGGGCTTCATTTTTTGGGTGATTGCTATTGATACACATTTGATGAGCGGACTTTTTAGGTGGGGATTTCGTTGTGCAGAGTTTGTTCCTTCTTCTGCATTGAGTATTCATATAACATCTGACAGTGATTGTCGTCTAGACAGATGAATCAGAGAAATTTCGGCCAATAGAATATGTAGTCTCAGTGCTTTGGAAGTTGGATTGACAATCCGACCTTCGAGATGAAGATGACTTCTCCTGATACCACTCCTTACAGTAAGAGAAACTTCATCCTTCACTTCTCATGAAACTTTGTCTGCAGGTGCGATTTCTCATGGCCGGTGCTCTAAACGTACCCGAGACTGAGCATACCTACGGTGACTTGATGCTAGCTGTAAGATCATCGGAACTGAAACTGGTTAGTAACCCTCACTATCGAATGGTGAAGAACCATGCCTTTCGCTTGTAAGCTCTGCAAATATATTATTTATGCACTTGGATAGTGTTCATTTTAAGCTGGCACTGTACCTCGTAGATTGTTTCTTCTTACTTGTTGGCGAGCTGACAATTGAGTCGTACCTACCGCTTTCGTCAGTGATCGTAAATTTGTTGGCAATCAGCGAAATGAGATGCTCGACTAAATTTAATTTTTGTTCTGTTGTAGTATCCCGCTACTGCGTCGATGGTCGAAATGGGAAGAATGGAAAAAGTAAGTATATCGTAGTTTGAACGGACAGTGCTAGATGGTGTTAGGCCTGAATTTTTGGCTTTTTGTTCGGTGGATCACTGTTACTAATACGTCATCTGTGTCCCTTCAAAACGATTTTCCTGCGTTTTTATCTGCCATCTGACTCGTCCAGTGGTTGTTCAGTTATTTCACTTAACAACTTCGGAGGTCAAGGAATATATGGAAAAGTTTTACAAGATGGACACAAACCGCAGGTATCTCCCTTGTTTATAAATCTGATGTGAGATATGATCGCTTGCCTTGACTAGTGTGTATCAAACCACACTCTTGTTACTTCTTTGTCCTACAAATTGAAGTCAGTCCTCATATAATTTCGGCAGCAGGCAATCAGTCTGAACTTCATCGAATGAACTTTCGTTGACAAGGCCGAATATAGTTTTGTTGCCTATGCAGGACAGTTAGCCTCATTCCATACCATTAGTCTCATTACAATAGAGTTCAAGATGTAGGGTTAGGGTTTAGGGTTTAGGTATTGCGAATAAGAAAATCCGTGTGTAGGATATGGAATGTATCTAAAGAATCCTGGCTCTAGTTCTATGAAGTGTCATGATTTTATCAGGTACAAGGTGTACTTTTAGAATTGTTTGTTAGTTGATAAAGTAGCTGGTATCTATCTTGCGTTGAAGGTGGAAACTGTAGCAAGTGAAGTTGTCGGTATTTTTCTATTAATTAATTTTTCTGTCGCAGTGGCAATGTGACAATGGACCAGTTTCTGGAAGCTCTTGATATCCCTAAAAGTCCATTCTCTGAGAAGGTATGTGAAGCAGTTGTGTGCACTTGTGTGCAATGGTTGATCTTCTCATATTTTAGTTCATACTGCGACGACCGCTGTTATTGGTCTTTACATCTAATTCAAATGTTGGCCTCATGCAGCTCTTCCTCATGTTTGACAAGTCTGAACAAGGATATATTAACTTCAGAGAAGTGAGTGGACTGTTTGTTGAATTTACTCAATGATTCGCTCAAATTCCGTTGAAGTTTTATCTCTGTTAGCAATTTTAAGGATGATTTGGATTGTCTATACCATCCTTTGGTTTGAACTCTGGAGAATTTCTTTTTCTCGATGTACTTGTTACTCCTTATGCAGTTCAAACATTTTCGAATATTGGATGCTGGGAAGTGCGCATGGTCTGACCGCTCCCTTGTTGCAGTTTGTTGCAGTGTTAGGATTTCTATCAAATCACACAGAATTCGCCAGGCTAATCAAATCTGCGTTCGAAGCATGTGATTCCCATCAAGATGGAACGTTGTCTCAGCTAGAGGTAGGTTCCAGAAACACCTTCATTAAGCTGTTTGAAGCTTCGCAGATCTTTCCTTGCTGTTGTATGTACGCTAAGAAGCAGTTTGCTCTGATTATCCTATTCTTGTATTTACCACTACAGAGTATCTTCTAAATTGGATCCTACCGAGTAGGCTCTATTTGGATACAAAACGGTCGGTGAGGAGCCCACTGATGAGTACATTCTTTACCGTACTTAGTGTACCAACTAGGCTGGCAAAAGCGTCGCCAATGTGTGATGTACGGTGTTGACATGGTGTTTGCATGTTTTGTCTGCAGCTGGAGAGTAGTCTAAGATCAGTCTTCCCCGAAATTCCTAAATCTCAGGTTGGTTCTGGAATCCTAGAGAAATCTAGCGGATGACACGTTCGATGTTAAGTGATGCGGGAAGGTGAAATTTGTCTGCAAATATGATCAATAAGAGGATTCACATCTGCTATTTACTTTCCGTCCTGTTCGAAAGTTTTGTATGTCTTCGGGAAGTTCTGTGAAAGTGTGTAGAGAAAACGTTAGCGACCGTTTCTATTAGTGGACCAGGTCTTGTTGTCTTGTCTCGTCTTGCATGTGTGTTGGTCTAATGGGAGAGTTGATGAATCTGAGTCCTGTTATGCTTGGACCTCTGGAATACTAGTGAATATGCAAGACTGCCTTTCCATAGCTATCGTGACTAGTTGAAATCTGACCCCTTGCTATGACCATCATATGCAGGTCCAACATATGTTTGAAAAACTCGACATGAATCGCGATGGGGCTATAAGTTGGGATGAATTCCGGACGTTTTTAGAGAAAAATCCTGAGCTCCTTGCAGTTTTCGTTGCTGTGACCTGTGGCGTTTAACTCCACCTTTTTATTCGGGCCTTTCTGGTTAGTTACTTATCGTTTCCAGATTATTACTTTATTGCTAGAATGCCTCCTGTTCATCCATATTTGTGATGAATCCAGTGTTGTTTAGAAGGGCCCACTCTGAAGTCTCATTACTAACTTCTTTCTCGTAATTGGCCCAGCCAATTTGACAGTGTAGAATACGAGATCAAAACGAGAGGAATCTCTGCCTAGTCTTCAGCCTGTACAAGGGAAGGACGTTAGAAGGCATTTCGAATTTGGCGAGCACGCTGGTCAGAGGAAGTGTGAAAAGCCCCTGTATGTCTGTTTTCGACGTGGCATTACGAGGGCCCCTGGAACGTATGTGAAACCGCTTTCAGATCTTTCAGGGAATCAGAAAATGATCACCAATGGGTCCGTCAGAGAAGCAGCTATGTTGCTGTTTGCGGCTACTTGCCTTTCGAAGATTATATTGATGCAGTCACAATGGATGGACAGTTCCTCAGTGTGCTTGGGCCATGCAACGGAGTACAATTTCATCGAAGCTCGTCTTCAGTTATCCACTTGGGCACCAAGTGATTGAGCCTAGCAGTTTAGTGAAGCTTCCCTGTTAGGCGTTAGCAGGCGTTTTTGAAGGTGCATGAAGCTGTTTGATTGCAGTGCTTCCAGATCTGACTACCTACTGTATCAGGTACTGAAAATTTTGTGCTGATGGTGGGAATGGGTTTTCTAGGGCACTGGAGTACCAGTGTAGATTAGTGATACAACTGGTACGCAAATCCAGTGCCAGTGTAGAATAGGACACAATCTCTACTGAAGTTATATGCCGACCGAGAATATTGATACGTTGCCCGTGGAATGGGCTATTGCAGACAAGTGTGGGGCATATTGCCTTTGGCTTTTATGGATAGGATGGTACGCTGAAGAAAGATTTGGGAGTTGTTTCTTAACAACACTCATAGTTGGCTCATTTTCCTGCCCCACAGTAAGTAGTCTAGATGGTAAATTGGAAGTTCTTTCCACTGTACTTAATATGAAGTGTAATTCTTGAGCCTTGTAAGCAATTTTCCCAGGGATATGGTGAAACCTCAAGAATATGCTTGATACTCCTCGATGTGGGGGGATGGATTGCAAGTCCATTATGTGAAAAGTTACTGTTGTTGTTTGTTACAATATTAAACTGTTTGGTTTGTCACGGCAGTTTAGCGGTTCTTGCTGTTGCTCCCGTGAAGTCCTTTGCTTATCATCATCTGTGTAAAATGTACTCGGACTACATCACTCCGCACTGTATGTTTTCTATTTATGCCAAAGCTCATGAACATCAGCTTGGGTCCAAGAAACCCTCGCAGGTAGTTAGGTCAATAGAGTAAGCGGCAAGTGATTAGGCGTAGTGCTAGATCGATTTGACTTGTTTTTGTTTGTGGTGACGTACTTAGAGAGAACAGCACAAAACACCACCGAGTGCCATGAGTTCAGGTTCATCGGTGTCACAGTCGCTCAACTGGCCTAGCGTCGTCCAACTGATCCATGTCTCTCAATTTACCGGCGAGCCTTGTGGACTTAGTACTTGAGGAGGTACCCCTTTCTCTAATAGTTGTCCCTGTGCTGTTGCCCTTACAATCGACTGAAACACTTTGTCAGTCTTTTGATGTGAAGATGGCTAGATAAAGAAGGAATGAGGACTAGAAAGTTTTTCTCTTGCACTACTGTCATAGATCTCATTAAAAAGGTCCTCAGCAGACTTGACTACAATGTACCGTTTAGTGCGATCATAAGAATTGATAAAAATTGTCACGTTTGGGCGACGTGCACCAATAGGGCAAGGACTATTCTCGTGAATCTTGCATGAATCACTTGGATGTCGAACGCGTATTATTTCTATCTTTCAGTTGTCTGGGATTTTTACGTACTTCTGTATGAAGCACCTACAGTGCGGTAAGTTGTATTTTCTCAACGTTCTCTGAGTTGGCCCCAGCAAGGTCAAAGTTACAATGTTGGCTCCGGGGAGCACCCGTACAAATGCTGTTGTTGACATTGAGTACTACAGCGCATTTTGTTGATGGATAACGAAAACTTCAAACGACCTAAGTTTTTCTTCTGCTTCTGGAACTGGCATTTAGAAGATGGACGTAGCTCATGCGAGCTTCTTACTGTTTCAATGTTCATTGGACTATTGCCCGATACTGGTAAAGTCAACGTTTGCTACCTTCTAATATTCGCTGACCACACTTTACTGGAGCAATGGGCCATGGTACGTTTTGAATAACAGTCAAGCCATTCCTTTTGAAGGTGGCAGACGCTTTGACATGTGCTGCAGGGCTGCGGATGGCAGCGTTCCGATGTTTATTTGCAAAGTGACTCGTGTTGGTATCGACAGTCGTATAGACTCTTTTTTTCTTCCTGACCTAGACTGTCACTGGAGATTTCAGGAAGGGCGTTAGAACCTTCTGGGCGGGCCCATTGGCACAAAAGCTTAAAGGAACTAATTTTGGGACGATTACAAGTTATTTCTTCGGTATTACGGTTCTGTATGAAGGATCTCTGCTTTTTTCAAGCTGAGATGATATCCTTGTAGTTATACAACTGCTGCTGTACCGAATGAATCATGAGACCAACAAGGGTGCACAGTAGCAACTGTCAATGAAGAAAACGAAGGACCTCTCCGAGCAAAGGAAGGGCTGTTGTTACTTTTGAATCTACCGCGCCCGGAAGAGGTTTTCTCGAAAAGATCTATTCATGAATAGAAGTGTGTGTGCCAAACCGGGTTGTTCATTAATGTAATGATGGATCATACAGCCGTAGAAACTTTCGCAAGAGCTGAGTGGCATGAAGCCTTACTTTCGTAAATCTCGTATATCTGCAGAAATTGGGAGCTATCAAGGAAGTCGATGATACGGTCAATGTGAGCAAAGATTGTTGGAAGAATTAGCGCAGATTGGTCGTCACACTGGACCGATATCAAGGGGCATTTCTTCGGACGTTGCTCTTACTTCAATCTTTTGGACCGCGAGCAGGATACAGAAGTCAAGCATTGACTGTTTGCTGTACGAGACAAGTTGGTTCGTCCAAGAAGTCTGTTAGTGGCGAAGACCTGAGAGTGTGATCTAGAGGAAGCTCGGCACATAAATGAGTGTTGCACCCGAGCGGCGATTATGAGTGAACCCCACCGGGAATGTTAGCACTGAAGGACTCAGCATTACGAGCTGAGCTAAAGTGTGACGTGAAAGCAGGACAAGTACGGTGATCGAAGCCCAAAGCCTACAGTAGGGCTGGCCCTGCAGCGGTATGGAGAGAGGCTGTATGCTGGTACACTGCTCATCTCGAAAGGTAGGGCGGTACAAATCGGTTGTTTGTTTTCTTTCTTAAAAGCTAGCGGGAGCATCAGCCAGATGGTTAGATGCTGATGTCTGGCGTCATCCCGAACTTTAAAACATCAGATCCTCGTCCGCTAGGCTGTCGCTGGCCCGGACGAGGAGTACTGTCTGCATGGAAGAATTGTCGACAGAAGTAGAGTGGCAGTGGGGCGTGGCCAAATACAATATTTTTTGATGTCTCTACGTGCTAGATAGTCATGATCCTGTTTCAGCTTGTGCAGAGTTCCCATTCGATGACTTGCATGCAGAGGGGAATTTCCGCCACAGTATGGACGGCCGCAATCTGCAAGCACCGCAGTTCTAATGGCTTGATTTCCAGTATCATTTGAGTCTATCAGTTCATTCTTTGCTTGCTTGCTTGCTGCTACTCCTGAAGATTCACCTGTTGACATTCGCACGATGCCATCTGCTTTCAGCCGGCCACGCCTGCATAGAACATGGCCTCGTGGGTTCGAAGAGTGTTTGACAGTATCTCGCACACGCGGCCTCGTGCTCTTTCTTTCCGATTCTCATATAGAGCAATCTAGCGTTGCACAGCTACGAAGATCTTTCACGTAATGGAACTACATTTTGGAAATCTTTGCAGCAGATTTTCAGGCTTTTGGCCATGCATGCCGTTTGCTGCATTCGTGGAAACTGCTGAGGACGACAAGCAAAGATTACATGTCTATATGTCGGATGACGATATCCTCCTCATGTCTTCCATTCCACTTTGTCCTTAATTACAGTAACGGGTGTATTGCGAAGCGTTAATCGATTGAGGGGCCGACACTCCGAAGCATTATTGAGTGTTCTCATTATATATTTGGGAGCCGTGCTTTCGAGCTTTTAGTGTTCGGATTTAGTCCTAAAATCGAGCGTTGAGTCATCAAATTACAGCATCTCCTTCCGAACTCATGGCAGTCGAAATGTGATCATTAGCTGTGTGTACTTGTTCTGCTCCATCATTTGCAGATCGAGACTTCATGAAATTGGTGAATCATGATACAGAGACCTGGATGCTTTTCAAATCCGCCTCCATCATGTCGAGGCCTCCTTCAGCAGGCTTCCGCAGACTGCCCTTTGGACAGCTGAACGAGATATGTTGGCTCTCATGATGAATATGTAGGATTTCAGCTTTCTGTGAACTATGATGTTGCCTGTGAAACTCTGATGACACATGGGCTGGCCTGTCCCTCTTGGAAACGATTTATATCTTCCAATTTTCAAGAGGAAGCAATTTTCAATGATGGATGCCTGGAATGGCCCGGTCGTACCTTTCCCAAGGGTAAAGCCGTGTGGAGCATCGGCTCTAACCCTCGAGGAATTTCTTGCCAGAAAATAATACCGGTTCCGTTTCACTGCTGAACTCAACTAGAGGATTTCCTCAAATGTGCTAGTATGCACGTGGGCCAGGATATGGAGGTGTGTGAGAGGAGTATGGATCTTGCGTGAATATAACATTTCCTTGTGCATGGTTTTACTTCAAGCTCCATTCCCAAGACCTCTCACTCACTAACTAACTACAGTAGTCCCAGTAAATCTCTTCACTCGCAGTTTCCAAAGCTTTCAAAAGGGACACAAAGAATGAGGAGCTGCAGCAGCAGAAAGACGATGGCGATGGTGATTGGTAACAGGAGGAGAAGCAGAACGCGAAGCTTCGAAAATGGATGTCATGTGATCGAATTTGGTCTCTGTCATTCGCGGTCCAAGACGGAGCCACACTACAGCAGCACTGTACTGCTGCTTTTCATGCACAGCTAGCTCACAATGTTTAGAAAAGGAGAGGAGAGGAGATGAGGACGAAACCATCAGCAGCCAAAGAGGGAGGGAAGACGAGGTCAGACGACGTCTACTAGCTAACGCACATGGAATGGAGTTTGGGGCGGGGGTCGGTGCTTGTTCATTGCATGATTCGCTGCTAAGCAGTTGCTGCAAATGCAACGCCGAATGGAATGTTTTATCTCGAGATGTAAGTCATCCATCATGAGCTAAGAGCCAAGAAATTGCTCGATTCTCATGAACGTCAAAATCCGCTTAATGTCTCCTCTCCTGAACTAGACAGAAGGAGCTCATCGACCTCCTTATTGGACTGAAGCATAATGACACACGACAGTATTCTAGTGTCACTTACACTTTGCTCGACGTAGAGTTTTGATTATTCATGGCAGATGTGCAAACTACCCGCGACCAGAAAAAGGGCTCGGCTCGGCTCTGCAGGCAGGCAGGCACCAGGGTCTCCGCCATATCCACTCAAGTGCTTCAGCCTTGAGAAAGCTTTTCCAGAGGCAAAAGTAGGGCCTAGCATTCTGCCTATGCGGCGAGTGACGCGAGCTAGCTACAGCTAGATAGCCAGTTCAGTAAGTCAGCCATGATCCACTAGGCCTCGGGAAGTGTGCTCACACTGTCCATCCACTCGTGAAAGTTGTGGTTTCGACATTTATCGTGCATGTCTTGTCGATCGTATCCAAAGTCTTCTGTGATCGCTTTTGAAAGCCCCCCTGATCTCAATGTCGTGTTATTTCTGCTCCCTGCTCGGCTTTGTTCCTCTCGCACTAATCTGCCAATGTTCACCTTTCCAAATGGCGAAAAGCCAAAACTTTTTTGTTCGGAAGGAAGTGTGTGAGTGTTCCTACTCCCTAATTTAGACCCTGAGAGGCAGCCTTCCTTTTGGCTTGCTTGCACCCAGAGCCCGCCCACCCACTCACAGCCCAGGCCTCAATTTGCTTTCACCGCGTAAGTCGTATTAAGATTCTTCTTTACATTGCGATCTGCCAATCAGTGACGTCAAATTTAGAGTGAGCTTGGAGCTGACCTCAACAGACGTGACATTAATCCCAGCCTCGCATGGTGCAAAGTTGCTCACTGTGCCTCGTTTACTCAGCTTGACAAAAGCAACTCCAGGTCCTCAACAACTGACATGCTTTTGATCGTAGTTACTGGGCACTGAGCACTTCAAACTCCGACCAGGGGTCCAGAGTCCAGGTTTTTGCATCTGAAATGTAGATGTGCTTTGAAGCTGGGAGCGGATAAAGCGACAATGAGAGCGGGGACCAAGCAGTCCTCGAGCTCCTGTCTTCATGTTCTGTCATCAGGTTTTACCCGGAGACTGAGACTGACAACAGGACAAGCTCCAATTCACTGAGATTCGAGCCTTGGGCTCATGACATGGACAACCAACCCTTCACACCACCACCAACAACAACAACAAAGTAAGTAAGTCGTGTCATGGGTTTAAACTCTGGGAGCTCGCTCTTCGACCTCAATAACTGCTTTCGAACAGAGGGCAGGAATCGATCGAGCTCGTCTCGACAGTTCAAAACCTCATAGCGATCTGAAAGGTAATCCATTACGTGGTGCTCCGTTCTACGGTATCTCAAGACACTTTTGCAGGCTCGCACAAGCAACAGGTTCGGGTTTCGATCGATGATTGAGAAAGAGCAGCTTGCAAGAGTGGACTGGGTCCAAGCGTCCGAGGCTTGTATCACCATCGGTTACGAATCATTTGGATTTCTTAGCTCTGGTGATGATTAGAAGACAATTCAAGTCCCAGCTGACTCCATGCTGAAGGTGCAGATGCAAAGTGGAGCAGAGGAGGGTCAACTTGTAACGTTCAGGCATTTGTCGTCCATCCATTCATGAGATCTCGAGTTCCGCCATGACTCAGGTTGAAGCTTTGATGATTGATTGATTGATGGATTCCTCGTAGCTCTACTTGGATCCCGTTCAGTGCAATCTTGATGATGTGACTGGCAGGAAATCTCAAACAGCTCCTTCTCTCTCTGAACAGAAAGTTCTTTTCGTTATTTCACTGTTTGAACAGAATGACTGCTCTGATATTTTAATGCTTCGATGGTGATGGTGATGGTGATGGGGAACCGACCAACAACAATGTGTCTGTCCCTTGTGATGTCAATACGTCTGGCATGCATGAGACTTCTTTTTTAATCATAAGCACGAGAGAAAATCATCGAGCCCATCTCTCCTCAAGATCTAGTCAAAGATTAGCAGCGGTCTCCACTACATGCGGACTTTACGCTGCAAGATCCCCTAAGCTCTCTCTCTCTCTCTCTCTCTCCCACATTTATGCCTCTAACTGGCTCATCGAGACAAGTTCTCTGAGGTGCAGCGGGAGCGAGCGAGCGAGCGAGCCAAAGCAGGGCATCCATCAATCAATAAACTATGGCGGGGACCATAAATTAAATGGAAGCAACAAAAGGAAGAATCGAGCAAAGAGCCGAATGAAGCGAAGCGAGACAGCCATTGGCTCAACCGGACGAGGATACTCCGGTTGAGAAAAGAAAAGAGAAGAAAAAAAAACCACGAGGGCCCATCTCGTACTGACCTGTGGGAGTCGCATTAGTTTGTCTCACAGAGGCCCTGAGCCTCTGAGAAAGCGAAGAATAAAATACGGAATTCAGGACGGAAATTTCAAGGTCATGAGATAGTTAGCGCTATGATTTGCTCGTGTAGACAAGCCAAGAATATTCAAGTACCATGTCAATCATGTAAATTGAATGATACAATCAAGTGTACACGTACCAGTAGAGTAGTAGCAGCAGCAGCGGCGGCAGCAGCAGCAGCAGCAGTAGTATGTATTCAGTACACTGACTTCATTGACATCCCAGTACCGACCGGCCCCTTCAGTCTACACTCACGCGTAGACGTTACATTGCAAATGAACATACATACGTACAGTAATTATGAAATTATCCTTAATCACAAATGAATATCTTCCTCCAACTCCGAGTTCCCTCCCTTGGCACATCTATCTCATCACCACCACCTCCCCCCCTTCACTCGAGTTCTTCTTCAGGTTCTCAGAAGGTTATGCATAACACGCGTTTATTTATTAACCTGCTCATTTATTGTGTACAAGCTTCAATGTTCAATCTTCATGCTTCAAGCTTCACGACTCCAGTTCTCGTCTCAGCTTGTCTTGTAAGGTGTCCTAGCTGTCTCTGGTTATGGAGGCCACCAAGTAACGTCCACTAATCGAGCGAGGTCGAAGCGAAGCGTGAAGTTGCATCGACCGAGTTCCATCGAGCTTTGCTTTGCACTTTGCACTTTGCTGCTGCACTTCCTCGAGGCTCGGACTCCGTTTGACTTGCTTGTCGTATCACTCGGTATCACTCGAAGGACTATGATTGAAATTGTGCAGAATGTCTAATCATAAATTGCAGTCCAGTTCAAGGCAATCCAAATCCAATGAGTGACGGATTGCCTCCACCCAGTGCTCCTCCTCCTCCTCCTCCTCCTCCCCGCCTCCCCTCCCCTCCCTTCCGAGCTCTTACCTCGCTTGCCTTCGGGTCTCCAGATTTTCCCTTCCCTTCCCTTCCCTTCCTCGAACTCCTCAAAATTTATTCCTCGACATCGACGTCGTCGTTGTCATTGTCGTTGTCGTTTCGTTTCATGTGATGTCATTCATGTCAATTACATGAATCCTCGCTCCGCCATCGCTGCCCAACGCAACCTTCTCGAGTGTCGGTCGGCATGGAGTTCGTTAAACTCCGAGCTTCACGAAGGTCGATCTCATTTTTTGATCGTCGAGCTTTTTTTTGTTTGATTATGTCAGATCAACTTCAAGTCTGTAAAATCTCACAGAATATGTTTCCTCGTACTCTTGTTTGTTTATGTCCGAGCCATGTCTCCTTGTATAAAATTCTTTTCTGAATCATTATAAATCTTAAAAAACTTTGTAATATTCTAAATTTTCTAATTTTCTGAGGGGTGTAGAAAATATTTTCTGCACCCCTAATATTCCTACTCCGGATCTGATAGGGCCACTACTGTCCATTTCCTTTCCTTTCCTTTCAAATCTCCGGCTGGTCCCGTCTCTCATATTATATCATATTATAAATGCAGCATCATGATTATTGTTCATACCGCTGTACAATTATAAGAGACTACAAAGGTTCCTTTTCTTCGTGCGAAATGTTATTTCCCTCGAAAACGAAGGAGATATCTCTTTAGCAATAAAAGAGGACCGGTTAGACTCAAGTATTAGCTCGTGTAATAGCATATATTATTTATTGTCAAGATTTTTATTTTATTGTTGAGTCTTGGAATTTGATGTGAAGAACGGACAGGATTTCGTTCATGCAAAGATTTTAATTAAAGAAGCTTAGGTTTTATTTTGAATGTGGAGTTATATTATGCGTTAGACTTACAACAAGCAATCTATAAGGTTTTTCTTTTTCCTTGAAAGATCCGCCTACCAAAAATCACATGTACTTTAAAGGAACAGAAGCTTATAGAAAATTCAAGGTGGAGAGCTCGTCAAGTACAAAAGGTATTTAGTATGTTCAACTTGCATGGATTTGATACATATGAAGGTTATAGCAAGTTTCTAACTGGCTTGTTGTAAATGATTGACGTACCAAGCTTGTAAACGTGTAGTATGTAGCATGGTTCAAATATTCTTTTAAAAAAATATTTCAAAAAAGAAAAAATTAGGTCACAGTATGGAACAGCCCTAAAATTTTATTTTGATGAGCTTTGGATATGGAAAATTTACTAACTCATTTATTAATTTAATTTACTTCATTACTGGTCATATATAAAAACGAAATGGTCAAAACTTTTCTTCAATATATTTTCTTCATGAATATCTTAAATGAGATAAAACTATATCACTTTGTTAGAAGTCACGGACAACATGACATTCTATTTTCTTCTATTTAGTAGACTTTTTAAAGACAAAATACCTCATGTTCTACTCATGATCAAACCATTAACAAATCGAATTATATCCATAGATATCCATGCATGAAGATAATCTATTAGTTGAAATTTTTTTTGAATGATTTTTTTTTTCATGTAACCTTATTAACTACATCTATTTAAAATGATTCAAAATCGTTCATCGGAAATATCCAGTCTTCTGAGTTGTACAATTACAACTTTATCGTATATACTTTGAATAATGACGCGGTGTAAAACCTTCTACTAAAAAAATTTTCTCTTATCAGCTTAGCAATTTTGATTCACAAACATAAAAGAAGCTGATTGCGTCGATGGTTGGTATCAATTTATCTAAAGACTTCCACAATTTGTATATACTGATATGGTTTTAACTAGCACCGAAAACATCTTCTGCATCTTGAAGAACATGTTTTTAGAATTTCCTTTTATTCGTTAGATTTATGAAACGAGAAAATCATATACTTGAATGAATAAATTTTGTATAAGATCATGATGATCTGTACCAGACTTAACTTTTTTTTGAATTACATATATCATTCCTATCAATATTTCAGCGAATGGAGTAGAACATGTTGAGCACAATTTACGTTGAAAGGTTAAGATTTTTTGCTTTTTTGAATCTTGAATTATTTTTTGATTTCTTTTGGTTTTAATTAGAATACTTTTGATCAGCTTTTCTGTATTAAAATTTATTATTTTTTGTAAAGTAAAAAATATCAAGTATAATTAAAAAGTTGATTTGTAATCACACTGTGAATACTACTTTGTTCAAGTTAAGTAATTTGAGAAGCAGTTGGAGATCAAGTACCAGTAATTTATATACGCCTAATCTCTTTATTTCGATTTTTCATGTTAATCGCCTCAATCGAAATAAATGTAAAGAAAATCAACACATACTGGAAATTTTCAATCAAAATGGAGTTCGACAAATATCACGAAGAAGAACAGATTGTTTTTCAAGTTGAACGTTCCTTGCAAACCTTTCAGAATAGATTTGGGCATTTACATTCTTCTTCAATGTTCCGAGAAACATGTGCATTCGACAACGTTTGTTTAGAATTATTTCCTCCTGCCCTTGTTGCTTAGATTTCAAATTTGTGGCTGGTACGTGTGACAAATTCTAAGCTGTTTGTGTGATAACTCTACGTGGACTCAAATTATTTGTAAAAAATAATTATTATAATTACAATTTCCATCTCGTGTGGCCTCGTGTCTAGAAGAGTTACTTCTTCGGTGCCTGATACTCGATCCACATGTATGAAGATTTATTGCATCACTGATCATTATGCCATTCACCTCTATCTCAGCTGATGTGTCGAGTATTCATCGATTTGCGAAGAATCCATTATATGATGGACGGCCACCTTCATCGCCATGAAACGTACATTGGATCGACTTTTCACCCCCAAGGACAAGGAGGCATCACATTGCAATAAAATACTCGCTTGGATATGGACCTTTTCACCTAACCTTTCCATAGGTGAGGTTCCATTCTTCTTCCAGAACTTGGGCGATGATGGTCGGGTGTTAGTTGACTTCGATGTTCTGATTCAAGAGGAGAAGAAAAAATATCCCCAACCAAAGTGGGCCACGAAGCTCCCCAAGCCGAGCAGCAATTCAGCAATGCAGCATCATCGAAGTCGGATGTGGCCCACACTGGCTCAGAGACGACGATGGATGAATGGATGCGAGAATAGAATACCGGTGTCTGTACAATCATGTGCAGGGCAGATGCCCCCAAGACATGCAGTGTTTGTTCAAGATAGATTTGGAAGATGTTTGTTTGATCCGAACAGAGGATTGGGTTGTGACCACTGTAGGAGTGTGTTGTGATTATTTCCGTGCAGCTGCGTCTGCGTCTGGTGGGGCAAAAGCAAGCAAGCAAGCAGCAGTGCAGGTTTCGCAGTGCTATGTGTGATGCAACCAGAGGCGTTCAGGCATTACTATGTTCCCGGCGATGGTGGACAGAGGATCAGGCCATGTCCTTCAGTGATATAATATATATTTCTGAAACTACCAAACTCCGAAGGCTCATGTTGTGGCAGCAAGCATGAAGCCATAATGATTTATTGATTTATTTGTACTAACATATATATTTCTGAAACTACCAAACTCCGAAGGCTCATGTTGTGGCAGCAAGCATGAAGCTATAATGTCATGATCGATCCCATGGACCCACTTTCGTATCCGCTATGGAGAAAGGGTGCCGGTGTCGACTTCCTTCACCTTCTTTATCCAACAGTACAGAGTACTGTTCGATCAGCGATGCTGATCAATCACTTCTTTCTGTTGGCCCCGAGAGTGACAACGACACATTCAAAATCTCATCAATGGCTGCAGCGTTTTATGAATGAGTCGATGAGTACAAAAGGGAGGGAGCTGGATTGGTCGTCGTGATCGAAGTCCAAAGAGGGAGGGAGAGAGGGAGGGAGTGCTTCATGCATGCGACTATGCAATGGTACTAGAGAAGAGGGGATTAGACAGCAAGAGAGTGTGGAGTGTGGTCCTCACACTTGGTGTCTCGAGGAATGTGAGCAATGGAAATCTGGGGAGTTGGTGCTGGCTGCTCACTCATGGGCCCCAGCGGCCGGAGAGAAGGAAAGCCTGGAAGTGCATAAATCTGGAAGATTACGCGAGGGCTATATTTGCGTTGGTGAGTGTGCGATTTTATAGCGATTTGGGAGTCAGAGAAGTGTGTTCCACATCATCTTCTTCTTCTTCTTCTTCTGCTTCTTCTGCTTCTTCACACAAAAGAGCTTTCATGGTGAGGTCCACATTTATATCTCCCAGGGCCAAAAGATGGCATCCCGGTTACTGTGGAGAGTTGGATCTCCAACCCGGCGAGACGACCATAATGGACAGATGGCAAAAGCCCCGACCTGCGAAATCTTTTTCTCCTTCTTTCGGTGCTCTGCGCAACGATTCTGTACTGTGAGTCAGAGAGAATAGTGTACTTCACATCTCCTCCATAGCCCAGACGGGGCTCAGCTCAGCTCGTCATCCAGACCTGGTGTGGTGGCCCACGCTCTGAGCATCCATCCATCCATCGCTGAGGTGTGCTGTGCTGTGCACAGGCAGAATTGAAATTCCATCGCCACTGTTCAAAATGGATTTCCCACATAACTCCGGTAATTGTTCCACAGCAGCAGCAGCAGCAGCAGTAGTAGTAGTACATTACTCCTCGGGGGCAGATTGCCAATTTGCCGATCGTCGTGTTTTGTATGGTTTTTATGTGCTTGCTTGCTTTCTCAAGCTCCTCCTCCTCCCCCGAGCAACGGTCTCCTTCCAGCAGCAGCTGTGGACCACGAGCCCGAATCGGAAAGAGCTCGGGCAATAATGGCAAGTCGGTCTGGCCACTACAGTCGCGCAGCAGTCGTCGATGTGGTCCACAATCTGCCGGCATGGCATTGCAATCGAAAGGCGCAAAAACTCGCGATGTCCCTTGCGATCGAAGCATTGCCTTGCCTTGCATCGATCGAAGCTTTTGCAATCGTTTTGGACTTCGAGCACATCCCACATCCCAATATGATTAAAGCACTCACGCCTCGTCCCATACGGCTCTGCTCCACTCCTCCTGAGAGCTCATCGACGACGATGGCACGGTCCATGGCCCACGCTGCGAACGGTGCGACGGATTAAAAAAAACCTTCTCCTTCGGTTGCACCGCAAATCGCTTTGCCCCTGCTTCCGAGAAAAGGCGATGCAAGTCAACGCGATCATTTCTCGGACCCTTTCCCGTCTGCTGGCTGTGCCCTGGTGGCGACGAAAGCCATCGCACACGCTCATGATCCGCAATAGATTGAGCGTTTCACGAGAAGGGCTGGCCGGCCGGCCGGTCGCTGGTGAGTGAAGGAAGGAGGGAGGGCAGAATGGATAAAGTAGACGAGCAATCAATCAATCGATCGATTTATCGATAAATCGATAAAATTGATCGAATTGATGCTTAATCTGCTGCTGCCGATCGATCGATCGACGATGCCGCAGCGGCAGCGGCATTCGCTTTCAGGAGATGGGATGATTGATTCGCTGCATGGCGTGCATGGCCGAACCCGCGAGCCGGAACGAACGCATTAATTGTTTCGTGAGGTGGGCGCTCCATCTCGATGCGTTGCAGAAACTTCGAAACTTTTCGTCTCATAATAATGCTCTCTCTCTCTCTCTCTCTCTCTCTCTGTACGTCGACGACGATCGACGATGGTGCGCCAACTTGTACGCATCATCGACTCATCCATTCGAACCCGAATCCCCCTCCCCATTCGGACAACCTCCGCTTCGATGTCTTCCACTGCTCGCACACTCATTCATGGCGCCCATTGATTGATGATCGGCCTGCTGCTCCTCCATCTCCATCGCCACCTCCATCCTTCCCTTCCCTCCAGGTAGAGAGCCCCGAGGACCGACAACGTCCGGTACTGTCCGCCCCCGCCCGCGCCTCGACCCTGACGAAGCTCACGGCCTCCGTCCCCCTCGTCGTTATCTGTCGCCCCAACGGTCGATCCGGGCCCCCCGGGGGCGATATCCCCAAGTTTAACCAGTACAGTAAATGTGAACGGGGAAAGTCGCCTTTTCGTAGATTTCCCGCTGCTTGCTTTTGGTGGGGTTTTACTTTTTGCTCATTTTTTTCTGCGAGCTATGGGAGATTCTCTACGTTACTCCTTTGTTAGATTTGATTTATACATGATTCTCTTTCGGATCCACGCACCCTACCCTGATTTTGTTGCATTCAACATCTCTTGGCCTATTTTGAGGTTTCTACCCTTAATCCCCAAGTATGTCCATAGGATATACCTCTTTCAGGTGACATGACTTTGTAGCTAAAATGTGTAGTTCCTTCAATTTTATAGGTATATGAACAATTTTATAGGTATATAATGAAAAAAATTCTTGTTCATGCACTACAGGATTGAGATTAGACCCCGCAAAAAAGTAAGTGAGTTTTCATAACTTGCCAAGGATTAATTTTGAAATAGTTTATCATATATCAAGATTATACTTTCTTAAATAGTGGGTATGCATCAAGACATAGATTCTTATACTTTATCCGTTACATGAAAATATTCTACTTTCTTATATATTATGGTAATTGAGGATATGTTTATGGTACTATAATGAGATTAAATGATGATATTCGTGATACGTATAGGAGTTGAAATTATTAAAATTCTTATAACAACCTTAAATCCAGGTTGTTGTATATTGTGAAAACCATGGCTATGAATTTCAAAAATACCTATAAATTTCATTGTAAAAATATATATTTATACCAGATGATTTAATTGATTTTGGAACTGATATGTAAAGGCTAGAAACACATGAACGAAGTAGCCATATGTGAAATAAAGCGTCCGGAATTTTTAACTTCTGTACTATACTTTGGGCGTAGGACACTGACTTTTGCACATGTGATATTTTCCAAGTCGTGACCCATTCTGATTTAAAAGTTGAACTTAATATTCGTGTTTTTTTGGACGATACAATTTCAAAAACTCGAATATATACTGAGTGCAAACTATATTTCATACATCTATAAAGAACAAAAGAATGGAGAGGACTATCTACGTACATAGTTGGTAAGAAGACTATACCCTCACAATGCATATGAACCTGCAAAGGCAAGAAAGGACAAAATTTAGTCACAATCCTGAGAAAAATAAAAGCTTATCAACTTAAACTTACTCTAGTTGAGTATGATGAACGGTGGAGTGGTTAGCTTCATCAAAGTTATTTTATATTTCTGGATTTAGAAACTTTGAAGCTTCTATCGTTGAACTCATCTCTTACGCTATTGTAAAAAGCCAATGAATTCCCTATGTGCCATATATTAACGACCAAAAAATTAGAGTCTATGGTGAAGGCATGGGTCTTGAAAGAGAAAGTCCATGTGCAAGTATGTATGGGACACTATTATTCAATCGACTATGTTGATAGGCACATTTAATCACCGATGTGGCAGAAAATGTGATAGATTTGTATTTGGAAGGGTCTCCACAAAATGATTTTATATGCATACAGTACGTTTAGAACACAACATTGAGGATGAATAAAAAGCTATCCCAATTCATTATTATAGCATGGTTTGGTGTTTACTTCAGATTTTTGGGCATATTGACGAATTAATTCTTGTTGATATCTTCTGCATGAATATCAACATTTGGTAACATTGTCAAAAATATTTCATTATCGTAACAGTCCTATTCATTCAGTGAAGAAGTATGCAATATCCAAAGAAAATAGAATATCAACACATTCTTAAAATAAAAAATGAACATACTTCCTCTATCAAAAGATAAAAAAGGAATATTGTTTTGTTGCTCAATAATAACCTGGAGGGAGTTGATAGAGTACTCAAAATTCTATAAACCGGAGAAATTCGCCTCAAGCGCAAGAAGATGAATTTTCAATTTAAACCGTAATGTGACTAAAATATCAAGCAACAGAGATTTTAAATTTTATTGTTGTGAAGCGACTAGGTTCAATTGCATGTGAAACAATTTTCCAGTGAAAAAGTAAATAAAAAATCGTACGTTGTCACCCTCGATATAACCATATCATGCAAAATCTAGGAAATAGCTTCAAAGAGTTTTTGGAATCGGAGTTAGACTTGCATGAAGTGGGCAGATCAAAGGTGACATCGAAGAATGTTTTATTTATTTGTTTATTGAAATGCAGAATATACATGCAGTAAAGCATTGTGGCTAGTTGGAATTCACTTTTGTGTCTCTCTGCAACTTGATAATTATTGGTATTAGATTTGTGTTGCATACCGGACTGTGCAATATGTAGGTGCATGTGCCGTATTGTGCTATGGGCCTCCTTATTCTTCAATCCATTCCTTGAAACAATATTATCTTATTGTTATTATTTATGTGTTCGTGCCAATCATTCGAGGTACGTTTGATTTCAAAATTATTTGAGAATTCCTCCACATTCGTATGGTTTATATATTTATTTCTAGTAAGTATTGCTTTTACACAAAGTGTAACCGAAATAAGTATGAAAAATTAACTCATATTGAAAACCTGAAAAATGGAACTTCTCACTAATCTCTTCAGAAAAACATGTTTAGGTGAGATCCTTGTTATCACCTGATATTAGATCACGGAAAAAAGGTACTGAGTTGGAGGTTTCGAAACTCCCACCTCTTGTCATGGGTTATAATAAAAGGTTATAATGAAAGTTGTGGAAGTGACTATTACCTCAAAGTTTTGGTTCACACATGTTTGTTGGTGGGAAGCCAGGAACAATGTTATGATAGAAAGCTGAAGATTAATTTATTTGATGGTATACCATCGTAACATAAATAATTTATTGAGATTCATCAATTAATTTTATTAAAATTGAACCATAATAAAAGAAAAAATTTGAATTGGCTGAAATCAATATTACATATAATATATAAATGTCAAGTCAGGCCTTCACAAAACTTACGGACCTTTGTATTCACTTCTCTCGTCTTTGGAGTAGGCATGGTCAGGTAGCCGGCGCAAACGTGTAGCCGGCTAGTCGGCCGAAATGCAATGGGGCGAAATATTCGGCCAAAATAATTTTAAATTTGATAATTTCGGCCGAATCTGACGAAATTATCGACCGAAAACGTAAACTCGGTCCGAGTTTTCTGTCTCGGAGAACGATGGCAATATTTATCTCTGACCCCATTAGCCGAGCCGTGAGCATCCCTACATTGGAGCCACAAAGGGTTCCACTTGGCTCGAACCAATTGCATTGAGTCGCAATTGAACAATCCAAGTGCGTGAGAAACTGATCCATCCGTCAACCGCTGTCAGATACAGACAGCAGGAATTAAGGCTTTGACTTGCGCATTCGGGAGTACCTCTGGAATCAGCAGCTCACATACTGCGCACATCATTCAGACATTCTGATTCAGGCATTCTGTTTGCGATCCGCTTGCTTGCTGCGCAAGAGTGCGTATCACATCAGCAGCACATGAAGAGGGCTTTGGGTTGCACTTGACAGCGTACCATACGAAATCAAATACTGCCTCGACAATTCAACTGCCAATGAACGAGAATGATTATATCTTCGGAAAGTGAAATGAAACGGCCTCTCGCCCTTCTTCACTCTCTCTCTCGCCCGACGTCATTTCATTACGGTGGATGTCAATGTCCATACGGACGCGATGGGGATTCGGTTCATACGGCAGCCCCCCCACACGGAGATTGGACATGTCTTCTACGTGTCGACGGTACGGTGCTATCTCCGGCAGGGGCGAGTTCTGGCCATCCTCATCCTCGACCTCGATCTCCAGTCCAGGCACAAATGTCAACACGTCTATTCAAGTAGCCGTCCATCTACCTACATTCTAATCTGTCCTATCTCCAAATTTCAGTACAGTACGAAGTAGACGACTTTGAAGCTGGAATTTGACATCTGCCTCGAGCAGGATGATGACGACGACGACGTCTCAAAGCGTGCTCGGTGCATCGTATTACAGAAGAGGGCCTGGAGCTCGCAGGAGCCCCGATCGCTGAGATGATTGTGATTAAGATTAAGATTATGATTACGATTTCGAGTTCGATAAAGGTCGAGCCTCACCTCACCTGGAGGACTGACTGCGTACATGACGGAATCATTTATTTTGGACTAATTTCCCATTACCCTCAAAGTGCTACAAAGTGCTACTGCGTCGAAGCAGCAGCAAAAATGAGTAGACGGAACTCCGAGAATTCAGAATCCTCCTCCTCCTCCTCCCACAACTGACATGAATCCTTACGGTCTCCGACACTAAATTCTCGTCATGCGTCGCCGTGTTCTGTGTCAATGGCTGTCACTGGCGGGCATTCTGTATTCGGGAGCCCGGCGTAACCACAGTATTACCGGCGAGCTTCGCTGACCCGAGGGGACGGCAGCATTCCTGATTGCCTGATTGCTTGATTGCTTCCGGCATCTGGATTCCGCGAGCTCACCGATCACAGATGAGGGAGGGAGGGACAATTGCCAGCGAGCCAGCGCATGGAACTTTAGTGCGGCGAGCTGATTGAACAACTACAGTACAGGCGTGCATTGACTTGCGAGGGGAGGAGAAACTCGATCATCTGGGAGATCGAAAGGGACTGACTGCGTTTCATTCATCTTAGGACGAACGATCTCTCGCGGGGAGGGGGGGAGGGGGTAATATTCTTGGGCACAGTACAAGCGGCAGGGCATTAATTCGTCGAGACCAGCCCGTCTCGACATGGAGACGGTTATGTTTATTTTTTGGCAAGTCTGGGTTGTATCAACTACAGTGGGCACTATGCACCATCACTGAAACCCAACCTTGTACGCCACGGGCATGAATTCCAGCTGGCTGGCTGGCCGGCCGGCCGGCCCTCTCTCTCGGGAGCCCGGAACCTCCTAGATCTGAAGATCCTCCTGATGAACGTCGCCACTTTCAATAACTGCCTGCACCGTGGGCCGGGCAGCAGATTTG